ATGAATTTGCGTGATGAATTCCTTCCATGGAAATTTATAATTGGTCAAGTTATTCTCGATGTAATTACCTTTATTTTTCTTAATTAAGACTAGACGAACATCAAATATCTAAATTTGTAAATTCAATTAGAAAAATCCAAAGATCAAAACTGTTGTCAATAAGACAGATATGATAGACACAACATATCGATTTTTCAAGATGGAGATTTTAGCAGGGGAAAATAATATGATTGCAGAAGTGGTTTGTTCTAATCTATTTCGTCATAGTTTAATGGCACCATAAATCAATTTTTTAATGCTAATTATGTATTTTCTATTATATTAGAAAGAAAGTAATTGTAGATTTCGTTTTGATTTCTCACAAGTATATTGGAATTCGCGGTTACATACCGAACATAACCGTTTATTGTCAATGTTTAAAAAGGGCGATTATATATGTAGGTGAAATTTATAAGCACAAATGGAACATTGATTCTTTATCACACTTACTGTATGTTTATCATACTTACCATACTTATTATACTTACTAACTCACGTCGATTAAAATTTATATAGGTGATGTGTTTGCTGGTGTTGGTCCATTTGCAATTCCAGCCGCTAAAAAAGGGTGCATCGTGTATGCAAATGATTTAAATCCTGCATCATATAACTACCTTGTGGAAAACATTAAATTAAACAAGGTAATCATTGTTTTAATTAACTAAATATGTAATTTATTTATCTTATATCTGGTTTTTTTTTTGTTAGGTACAAGATAAAGTTCATCCATATAATTTGGATGGAAAATTGTTCATAAGCAAGGCCGTGTTGGATCTACAAAAAGCATATGACGATAATTCAGAATCATCTAAAACTTCAAAAGTAAAAAATAATGCGACGCTGCAAAAACAGATATCTTGTAATTTCAATCATTTTATCATGAATTTACCTGCAACTGCTATAGAATTTTTGGGTAATTTGATCACTATTATTTTAATATTATCAAAAATTGAGAAGTTATAGTCCTGACCGGATTTTTATCATCTAGATGCATTTAAAGGTCTCTGGAAAGATAAAGAGGCATTGTTCAAATCTTTAAATTTAGAGCTACCAATGATCCACTGTTATTGTTTCTCTAAGAGTGGTACGCCAGAGGTCGAGATTGTTGAAGTAAGAAATATTGAATTATTTAGAGAATTTTAATGGGTATTTCAATTACTAATTTTTTTTTTTTTTGAAATTGCGTTCAGCGGGTCAATGCAGTTTTAGGATATCCTTTGCAAGAAGATATGTATAAAATTTACTTTGTTAGAAAAGTAGCACCTAATAAGGATATGTTTTGCGTTAGCTTCCGGTTAAATCAAGCTGTTGCTTTTGTCCACGGAAGGTATCTTTCATTTTAATACTGATATTGAGGGGTTTCAGAATTAAAAAAAAATAGCGTATTTCGAAAATAAGTAGGAGCTTAAAAAATCTTATTTGTATATCAAAATTTTGAAATCGGAAAATGAAATGGGAGTGTTTAGAGACTCCCATTTAACGAAATAAATAAACTTTTCAACGACAAAAATCATTATTACAAATTTATCGGAAAATGAAATAAAGTCGATACATCACTCATTTGAAAATAATACGTTATCTATTTCTGTCAAAATTAGATTTCCGCACGTTAATTCTGAAACTCCTCATTGTATTAGAATTCATGTGTAATCTTATATTCATACTAAATGCTATTTGTATTTTTACAATTTGTTAGTGAAAAACGTAAACAAGACTCTGTAAAGGGTGCACCTCATGTAGACGATAGCACGTCCGTTGGAGAAGACGACATCACTAAGCAAGTTAAAAGACACAAATTGGAGGATCAATAAATAATTATTTCGTGCATTATGGCTTGAGGACATTACTATCTGTGTTAAATATTACTGTATTAATAAAATTTGAATTGAAGTATCCTTCTGTTCATAATAATATTAAACTTTTTTTTACTCTATCATCGGCCGGAGGTGGAGGCAAGCAAAGCTTTCAAGCCTTGTATACTGAATCTTAATTTAAATGCTGACTTTAATTAAACAAAAAAAGGCTTGTTTCAGAACAAAATTTAGCTATATAAAGATGACAGTTTTATAGTCGTTCTAGCAAAATCATAATAAAAAAATAAATGGACCCTTTCTAATAAATTTTATTTAAAAAGTTGGCTAAATGTAATTTACTGTATTTTCGCGTAATAATGCCCATGAGCGTTATTTCGAAATCGTACCACCTAAAAATAACATACGTATGCGAAATGACGCGTCCAGAAATAACTTCTATGCTTAGGCCAATGTAAGTTAATATAAGTCAATGTAAACTAGCTAATCACGTAATGTTTTCTTATGCCGGACGTCGCCTTTATCTCAAAATAGCGTACTCAAAACAACACGCAGGTGGGTGTTATTACGCGAAAATACAGTATATTATAATAAATTTATTATGTTAATTCGCTAGTTCCAAACAGATCACGAATTAGGTTTATATTCATATTGTATAATTATGAATAACACTTGTGTGTATCCTCCTGGGATTTGGGATTTGGGATTTAAGATGTGGGATGATTTTATGCTTGGGTATTTTGAAAATTTATAGTTTCGGTGGCAATTCTATCTGTGAGCGTTATGGAAATTGCATCCTTTAAAACATCATATTTGGTTCAAGATAATGCATATGCGTCGTCCTAAAATAACACACTTTATATGACATATATATTAGATGTACATCAGTTTTAAATGTTTGAATCTTTATTTCGAAATAATACATGAGCGTCTCAAAGTAATGCACAGTGGATAAAATAACGTGTAGAACGCGTTATTTTGCGACCATACGGTATTATATTTTTACTAGTTGTAAGCTAGATGTAAATCAAATTGAATAATCATAAAAATTATTGATTTTTACATTAATTGTCGGGGATGATGTTGAAACAAGACGATGCTGAAACATTGACTTATTTTAATATGAAATTTTAAAATTTTTGGGAGATGTTTTTTTTAGCCTTTTTTTGTAGTTAGTTATGTTAGGGTTTAGGGCTAGTGTTTATAATAAGAAAGTATAGGTGGATTTTAGTAGGGTTTATATTCTGAATTGAGACCCCCACGTTTCAGCATCATCCCCGACATTAATTATCCACACGGTCATTATATAAAATTAATTACGTGACCACAAATAGATGTTTGAATGTATTTAATTACTTGCTGTGATATTTATGCTCCAAAAAAAGTTAGTTTATTCAAAATTGAGTCTTTTGATCATGACAAACTTATTTACAATTTCATTTTCTACCAACAATAGGAGACCCTTCCTTACCAGCATATTCGGTCCAACTTCCATCATAGACTGCAAGTTTTTTGGCACCAATTTTTTCCAAAGCAGTATAAAGCATCGTGGCAGTGACACCACTACCACAGCTTAATACAATAGGTTTTTCTAAGTCGACATTCTTTGATTTAAAGAGTTTCTTCAATTCATCATCATTCAACAATGTTTTGTTGGTATTTGGATCAATGATTGAATTGAATGGTACTGAGATAGAATATGGCATGTGCCCACTAGGGAGTCCAGGCCTTGGTTCGGATGCATCCCCAGTGAAACTTTTGATAATAATTAGAATTTATTAATGTTAAATATAAAAAAAAATAATAATGACCAATTAATAAAACAAATACCGTGGTTCAGGCCTAGCGTCCAGAACTTGTTCAAAATTTAGAGAATCATTACCATTGTCAATATTTTTCCTGATATCATTATAATGCCTCACAAGTGCTGTATTTAATGTTGGAACTTTGTACGATTTTTGCTATAAAAATAAATTAATTACAATCTTGTATATGTATATTAAAAGAAAATTAGATATCAAAATTTAGTCTTCAACTTACAACAATGTCGATTGGACCACTCTCAACCGGCCTACCTTCTTCTAACCATTTAGGTAGCCCTCCATCAAGAAGAGATACTCGTTCATGACCAAAGACCTTTTATGTGTGATGTAAGGAAAATCATAATGAGATATTTTAGGTTCGAAGGTAAAATAAAGAATTTGAATATACCTTAAAGGTCCAATAAACTCTTGTTGATGAAAATATTCCTGATACCAAGTGAAATATTAATAATAAATAATAAATAAATAAATGGGAATAATTCACAATCTTTCATCTTTCTTGGATTACCAATTGAATCATAAACCACCACATGGTCCTTTTCAGATATTCCAAGGTTACCTTTGTAAAAAAAAATATACATTAATTATTTGGATAAAAGGATGATATTGGTACAAAGATTGCTTCACGGTCAAATTAACAAACCTACAGCATCCGCAAATTCTTTTGGAGTTGGCAACATATGCGGTAAATCGCTAGTCTTGTCTTTAATTTCATCAATTCCAAAAAACCTCGCATTCTTTTAATAGAATAAAAATGAATTATTTTATCATTAATACTCATAAATCTAACATCTATGATAAAGTGTAATAAAAAAAAAAACCTTCAAACGTGTTTTAAAGTATTCTTCATAAGGATTTCTATTAGCATTTGGCATATGCCATGATCCGTCAACAGGTATAATAGAATCATAATTTTGCGCAACCCATTCAGTAGTAACGATGTTATTTACTGAGGATGATGACGAAAACATTGCTGTTGTACAGGCCAATGATTAAATTTGAAAAGAGTATCATTAATGCGGGTAATATTTTATCATTACATTGACGGATTTTGTGTTAACATCAAAAATATGGTTACCGCGTCCAAATCCAAGACGCACAAAAGTTGATTTGTGCGAAGATTTTAAAATTGGATTCACTCTAATATTTTTTGTGAATGTTATATGAATAGACCGAAAGAATTGCATGATCGATAGATTAACTAATTATTTGTCATTTAAAACTTTAAATAAAAAAAATTTAGTAGATTATCACTATAAAAATGTCACTTTCACGCGATGATCGACGACAAAATTTTGTATAAGAAACTATGCTAAATCGATATGAGTCACTAATTCCAACCCTAATCTATACACGAATTTACTTTATTTTCTCGAGTAATACAAACCCAAAAAAGGAAATTTGGTGTGAAAACTAGGGTTCCAACTTTTTGTCCCGTTTTTTTTTGCTGTATTTAATAAATTTAGAAAATTGGTCCTTTTAAGTTAGTCACTAGCGAAGTTGTAAGAGTAACTTTTTTTTACAAATTCTAGAGAGTTTTGTGATCTTTGTATTAGTTTTCTAAAATCAAACACGTGGTCTCGGCTGATCTGATTTTGAGATTTTGGGGTCTCAATTTGAATCTACTAATCTACTAAAATCCACATACAACTCTAACCATGAATTCTAAAAAACTTATAAAATGCATCATAAAACTTTTTGAAATTTCATATCAGAATAAGGCCAATTTTCAGCATCAGCCGTGACAAATATATATATAACAAAAAATTAAGGAAATGCCTATTTCCACCATTGGCCGTAATTTATCATGATGATATATTTGTAGTGGTAAGCCATATGAAAAACATGGTGTAATAGTAAATTTCCATGGTGGAAATAGGTGTTCCCTAAATTAAATAAATATAAAATTATAAAATATGATAAATAATATATATAAATACGACCGTATAAAAGAAATAATTACAAAATAAATTAAAATGTATCTTAGAATCTATTAATGTTTTGTTTTTGATATCATCGCGCACCCTATCGTAAATTGTAATGATGGTACTGTACAGTGGGGACAAGAATATCCGAATTGGTTTGTAATTCGAGAAGGACTAGACCATTTTCAATAATTTAGGGCTTAAATAAATGCTGCAATTTGATTTAAACAAAAAATCATCAAAAAATGTTCCGCCTTTCCTGAGATATCACATTTTAAGATTGCTTTTTCATTTCCGATTTCACCATGGATGTGCTATCAAATAATGCTGGTATCTCAAGAACGAATAAGACTTTGTGGATGATTTCGGATTTAAATTAATTCTTCAAACATTAGCATTTGTTTAAGCCAAAAATTATTGACAATTCTTGAGGTACAAGCATCTGGTGTACATGATGGTTAATAATCGTATGTTTTTGTAAATTCGATTTTTGTTACTGCAACATTTAACATGTATATTTCGAGAACTGTTGGTCCATTTTTGATGATTTTGGCTTTAATGAATCCTGAGATTTGTAGCATTCAAAATCGTTGATAATAGATCAGCCGTTCTCAATTACATAAGTACAACATTTTTCCGGATATTTTTGTCTTCCGTTGTATTTCCTCTGACAAATCAGCCACCATGTATATCCTCTTCGTAAGGAGAACATTAGGTTACCGAAACAACCCGTCACAATGAGCTTTAAATTATTGAATACTTACGAAGAACTGGTAACAACTTGACAAAACTACTCACCCTGTCCGAATTACCTTCGCGCTTTATTCAGTGAATCCTTCTTCTAACAATTAATCATTAAAATCTCGAATCTTCTTCCTAAAGCGTAGCTAGATTAGCCTTCAACTGGTTTAAAATTTTGGTTTGATTTTTTTTTTTTTTTTTTTAAAAAAAACAAAAGCAATATAATAGCTATAATCTCATGTTCTTTTTTATTACTTCATCTTTCTCATTATGGTTTACATTTATTTTATATTAAACGCTTTGATTCATTATTTTTTTTTATATGAGCACATAATCTTCCATAATCAGCTGAACTGCAATTTCAAACTATAAAAAAACCCCTTCACTAGCATAACCAAGATTATTTACGTAACCGTTGCTTAAAAAGATTGAAAGATTGCTATGATTTTTTTATGAAAACTTTGATCATATTAAATTTATATCAATATATATTGGCAAATTACGTACGTAAAAAAAGATATTTAAGTGCGGTTTATTCACCATTTTAATTTGGGAACGAACAAATAAAGATGCTGGTGAAATTAACTAGAGTGATGAAATCATTTCACTACTATTGGTCGGCATCTCCAGAAACAGATACGTACCTCATCCAAAATTACTGTAAACCATTTTTTTTTTAAAAAAAATGGTGTTGGGAAGGTTACTATATCCAACTGTTTTCAAAACAATTGGACATATGTCAAATCTTTTTGAAAAAAAGCATTTATTGCACTATTTTAAAAGTGTTATTAATTTGAATGATATTTATAAATCTTGTAAGTCGAATTCACAAAATTGAAAATACCGGAAACTGAATTAATTGCTTGATATTTGTTTAATACAATAACTTCGAAATAATATCTTAAGATAGTTCAATGTGCGAGCATAAACAACCATAAACAACCATAAAATAACGTAAATAGTATCCTATATATATATATCTAGATAAAATGAAAAACATAAATGAAGGGTATCGAAACAATCTTAAACGCTTGATCACGTGGGTGTTCCATAACTATGTATATAAAATTTGGAAGAAAATAAAAAACGGCAGTCTAGGTATTAATAAAAAGTGTCCAGCCCTAAATTTAATCAAATGAATTGCCTACGTATAAAGAGGCTAATATGGTTACACGAGTGTTTGGAAACTCGAACAAGGGATCCCCTTAGCAAGTATATATTCCGAGGATATGTTGCAAGTAAAAGCTCGTGTGTCAAAAAAAAGAAATTATTTACAATTATTCAAAATTTCTGATAAATCCATATCAATAGAATCAGGTTTATTTATTGAAGATTCCTCAGAAGGAATAAATTTAACTTGGATTTCCGATTAGCATAATACCTTCGATTAGTTCGATGTCTAGTCGAATAATTAGGCCCGGCACACCCAGAACATTTTCGAGTATGAGGTGGACATTTAATCCTACAACTCCTACAAGTGTAAAGAGAAATCCGACGACCACTACAATCATTACAAAAACAGTCTGCAGAGGAACCATAATCAAAAAAAGGACCATAGGGACCTATAGAAAAGGATGAAATAAGCAATAAAGGCTCCCGTGAATTTTCGGAAGAATTATCCATTTTTTCGGAAGAATTAACGGTTTTACGGAAGACTTTATGACGATCAGCGTTGTTGACCGGAAGACAACTTTTAATATTACAAATTCTCACTGGAAGATTAAAAAGTTCCTACTAGAGACAAATTTAACACTGTTTTATGATAAATTATAAATGTCATTCAACGTTTAATCTAGTATTTGTAGTCGGCCTAAATTTGTCGACTCGACTAAGCCAAAACTTAAAAGTTGGTTTAGCTGGCTATGCAAAGTCGATTGTTTTTAGTATATGAAATAGTATATATCCTGAATTTTCCGTCAGCCCACAATTATAAGGTTATTTGATTGTCTAGTTTTTTAAATCCTCAACACTTACTTTTCAAGAATCGAATAACAAATAAGTCAATTTTTTTAAAAAAATCGATAGGCTAAAAGTTGATTTTATCATATAATGCTTCGGTTTGATGAACGACTTAGTCGGTTAAGTCGATTTTATCGTTGAACCAATTCGATTTGGTATAAATCTAAACTATATTTTATAACCTGTATTTTTTAAAAAATACGACAGGCTAAGTTGATTTTATAATGGTTTGGCGAACGACTTAGTCAAAGCGACTTATCGTTGAACAATTTGGCATAAATCTAATTTAGTATATTTTTGTATTTTTAGGCTAAGTTGTTGCTTGAGAGCACTTTTAGTCAAGCGACTTATGTTTTTTGGGGGGTATTTATAAGATGACTTAGTCAGAGGGACTTTAAATTGTTCCAATTTTTTTGTTTTTTTTTTTTTTGGTCAAAGCGACTTTAAATTTCCAATTTTTCCAATTTTTTTGTTTTTTGAATATTTATATAAAACCAGGCCTTCAAAATTGCAGAAGTTCAGGTCATGTGACAACACATATCGGTATGATGCACGGTGGCGTTGCAATCTCAGTTAAATGAGTTATATAATTTCTCTCCTATTTTCTTCCTATTCGGGAATAGTGAGTATATTATACGTACGTACTACGTAGTGAGTTTTTTTACCGTGTTTCTTCCTATTCGGGAATAGTGTGTCTCAGTGAGGGAAATCCGTGTGAAGGGAAATCTGAAATTTTTTTTTTTGTTTTTTGAGAACTTTGCAACAGGACAGAACGTCCCGAGTGCCCCGATTTTGTAGATCATTACACAATTAATTATAGATTTTTTTTTATATGTTTTACAATACTTTTTTCGAAAGCTCGGATAGATTATCTACTCTAAGAAACACGGTAGATTATTAGAGAAACTTGAAGTTCTCACCTTGCCCTACAACATATTCGTTTAATCCATTTTAATCCAACAACTTTCATATTGCACTTCACCGGTCGAAGTTATAAGCAATTAACTACCACTACGCTGACAAAATCTCGTTTGTTGAACAAAAAAAAACGAAAA